GACGCAAAATTGAGAGAGAGCGACAGAGAAAGACAAAGTGGAAAAGGTGCGTGTATGTATGTGCGAGTATGTGTATGTAGGGCGTGCAAAACCAGTTCGCGTTTAGATATTTTTTATGCTCCAACTCCTCTTTTTTTATCCGCTTCTTCTTCTTCCTCCTCTCCTTCTCGCGTACTTCTCATTTTGGGGGTTGAATGGAAACAACCGCCGTTTACATCTCCTTATGCCCCTTTAATCGTCGATAATCCTTTCACATTAATCCAAATTCCAAGGAAGCCATACAAAAATGTCCAAACAATTCATGAATTACCATAACACAGTCAATTACAGCTAAATATGACATAAATTGTGTGTATGTTATGTCAATTTATAGCATATTGTATATATTTTGTTAAAGACTGTACAGATGTCAGTACAGTTCTAACTGAATCATCTGTTAATAACTCGGGTTTAGTAATAATTTGTTAAGAAACAAAATTAAGTTTAAGTTAATGAAATGTGATAGATTATTATTCCATATTTATATTTTAGGTATTAATATAACAATTATTTATTAACATAAAAAATAACATATTAAATGGCTTACAATTAATTAGCAAGACAATAGTAAAATCCCCCATAGATTAAAAGTACATAACACCCTTATAGATTATTGTTAAAATTAATATTTATTTATATTTTACAATGGTAAACTATTCCGCTCATTGTTATATTTTGTTGTATACTCAAAACTATTTATTTATTGCCAGCATATGGCAGATTGTAAATAATACATTTAGTGTAAAAAAAATTGCTTGCGTCAAACCAATATTATATATTGGGTAAAGTAAAAAGTTCTGAGCGTTTTTTGTTAGATGGTTTAGTGAGCCGTATCTCACGATATATATGTTATATCTTTTCATTCTATACTGCGACTTAAAGGCGACATAACGCTTTAAAAAAAGTTATTTGACAGTCGTGAGTTTAGTGAATCCAGTTGTGTGTTAGAGCCTTCTAAAATGGAGGTAAATAAAGGGAAAATTCGATATATTCTTCAGTACCACCGACCAAGGAGAAAAGCGGAGCAGGCCAAATTGTAATTGTATTGTTTATGGACCCAATACAGTATCGAATGCAATAGCAAAGCGTTGGTTCCAATGCTTCTGTTCTGGTAATATGAACGTCGATGATGAGATATGCTGTGGTAGGCCAATCGTTGAAAATGTTGCTAAAATCATGGAGAGCGTCGGACATGCGAGCACTTATTCCATTGCCCAGGAACTGAAGATTAGCTAGAAAACAATTTGGAACCATCTGCATAAAGCTGGTCTCAAGAAAAAGCTCGATATATGGATGCCGATATATGAATTGACACAAAATAATCTTTTGGAGCGACCCATTTTTAAAGCGGATGTTGGTGATGAATAACGAGAACAACATGCGAAAAGATCGTGGACCAACCGCGATGAGCCAACCAAGAAGAAGATATTGCTGTGTGTTTGGTCTAATTGGAAGGAATCACTCAATTCGGACCTATACTGTCAACAACTGACCAGATCGAAGCGTCTAGAATTGGCCAATACGAAGGGTGTTATGTTCCATCAAGACATCACCAGGTCGTACAAAACATTAAAGACGCGCCAGAAGCTCCGAGAATTTGTATGGAATTATCACCTTTCAAGTATTTGCAAAATTTTCTTGATGGTAAAAAACTGGCCTCGAGAGAGGCATGTGAAAACGAGCTGGTCAATTTTTTTACCAATAGAGACGAGGATTCCTTCAATCGCAAAATTATGAAATTGCCTTCAAAATTGACAAAAGTTATCGAACAAAACGGTGCATATTTGATCTAAATCTGAAAATCCTAACTTTGTTAATTTCATCGTCGAAATAAAGAGAAAAACGCTCAGAACTTTTTACTTTACCCAATATAATTTAGATCGATCGTTGATGCTATCGAATTACATATATTCTTTATATCATTAAAAGATATCGTATATTAATATTTAAAGATTTTAAACGATATTACTTTACAAAATGTAAATTATACCTAGTAAATATTAAATAAATACATTTCAATAACAATAACAACGTAATGTATTGAATATTTGTTCTTAAATACATACAAAGGACAATTGACCACAATTGTTCCGCTCTACAATTCAATTTTAATTAAATGTTAACTTATATTATTATGGAGTCTGTCCTGCTCTGTTAAATTAAAATAATTGTAATACACATTCAACAAATATTTAAAAAAATGTGCTCTTCTATGTTAATTTATTATTTAGTTAAATACAATATGTTGAAATAATAAAAGAAAATATTACGAAATTGGAAATTATTTGAATGTATGTTAATAAAATTAATCATCTATTGGTTTGTTATGTGAAAGAGTATATGAATCTACAGATACAATTCATGATTTTGCAATATTTCAAAAATTACATAAACAAAATAATTCATGGGAATCTCTAAATTGAAATGGGTATTATATATTAATATAAAAATATTTTAATCCACTGATACTAATTAATAATTAAGCAAATTATTGTCAACAAATTATTAAGAAATATCATTTCATGAACGTAATATCAAACGTTAGCATCAATGTAAACATGTGTAAACTACAGATATATATAGCTAGTAGAAAACCTGTATCCAATATTTATTGCCCTATAAACTTGGTATTAATGTAACATACCAAATGTTACATTTTGACCTTTTCCTTCATATTATTATCTCTTAATAATTATTTTTTCAAATATAAATTACTTGTTTATATTACAAAAATTGATCGACGGATTATATAATAATAATAACTGACATTCATACAAAATCGATATACATTTAAAGTATCTAAAATATTGTTCAATCAAGTATTCAAGAGTATTATTTAGCAAAACATTAAAAAAATGTTTTCCAGAAGAATCGAATAATTGTTATATATTTGTTTTTAAAATTCAAAATTAGAAAAATTTCAGACAATAACCAATTGCTATTGCTATATCTCCCGTGTCAGACAATAAAATCTAACATAATGATTATTATATACAGTAAAACCTATTTTTGTGCGGTGGATAGGGCATAAAAAAAAATACATGTGAAAGTGCATCCAAACAAAATAAATTCAAAAATGCACATACATAATTCACTGCTACTCGAATTAACCTAAAACGCGCATCTTCTCAAGCAGAATCGTTTGAGCAGGCTGTACATATGCACACTTATAGAAAACATTACAATGGTGCCACTTCATGTTAAAACTTCATAACTTTTTTCAAACTTTTAAAATCCTTCTCATCTATTATTCAACCTCTTCAAATTCATTAAAAAAATGTATTAGAAAGTTCTATGAAAAATAAATATCTTTCTGTGTAGTCAATAGACCTTTGTAGGAGTTTTTTTTTGTTTTATCATGTATGTGATTGCAAATCTATTTATTTTATATTGTTACAATAAAGATAATTATTATAGTATATAAAGACTGAATTTCAGTGGAAAACTTAAAAACGATAATAAGAACAATATTTATAGAAAGAAACATAAAATTACATTAATAATAATATAGATAATGGCATATTTCTAGTAAAAATTGTTTATACTTATCTAAAGGGAAACTGACCGCAATCTTTCCACAGATCATATTTCTATTTTTCATTTTTTTTTTCAACTAATATTGTTATATCAATAACAATTATATTTATTGCAACAATAAATTATCAGAATATAAACCCAATACAATAACAAAAATTAAATTAAACAGCCCTTTGGTCTATCTGCCCTTTTGTTACAATGTTTAAAAATTTGCTTAAAATGAATATTTAATCAATTAATTTAAATTTAAATTGTAGAAATCTGGAGTAGAAATAAAACTAATATTATAATTTATAGAGTGCATATTATATACTTAATGATATTTTTATTTTATATTTTACCATTCAAATTGATTTTTATAAAACAATTGTAAAAATAAGTGAAATTTATATTTTATAATTTTACTAGTAAATTTTAATAGCTTACATTAAAATTTTATTTAATATAATAGATATTTGATGAAGAATAGTATTAGATTCCGGGGAGATTTGACTGTATACTCCAGTTTTGCGTTTTAAGTTATTCTTAGTTAGTCCTATGCGATTATTTTCAGAATAAAATTGGAAAAATCATTATAAGAATAGGAATTAATTGTAACTGGTACTTCTATGTTAATAATCAATGATACTTTAATTAATTTTCTCATGTATAATTACAGAAAACATTAATAATAATGACAATATTTATTACAACATTTATACACAAATATACAAAAAAATTTAATTATAAAATTACAATTAGATTAAAAAAAATGTTTCTGCTCAGAAAATATAATTGTTTCTTAATTAAAATGTTATCTAATATACTTCTTCTTGTAAAGCAACTTTTTTTTTTCTGTGAATTATAATTTATTAAAAATGTATGCAAAAAATTTGCCGCTATGTGTTAACGTCTAGGCCCCGGGGAGATTCGAACTCCCGATCTCCTGTTTACTAGACAGGCGCTTTAACCAACTAAGCCACGGCGCCGTTATATAAAATTGCCAAATTTACAAATCCGGCCTGTCAAAAAATGAGCGGCAAAATTTGAATTTTCTAATACACCAAAGACGGTTTTCCAGAGGGCTCTGAGAATAGTGACGTACGAAGTGATGCGAATTGTGGTAGATGCACATCCAAAATGTCAGAACGCATTGAATAATCGTATTTTTTAATTTGTAAAGTAATTCGTGCCGTGCTGCTGTCGTTTGTATTTTTTTTGCGCATGACATTGAAGTTTGTCTTACGCGTTTTGCGAGCGTGTTCCATTCAAGAATTCCGTTTGACCAAACAAACCCGTAGTAGTAAAAAAATACAAAGCAAACACAACAGAAAACCTCGACCACAATTCGTCCCAAACATTATTGGAAAAGTAGTAGTGAGTTGTGATTCAAAAATAAATAATTGTCTATGAGTACGGCAACGGTTAAGATCACGCCGATCACGATGAGCAAGTTGTACATAGGAAATCTTCCGGCTGAGACGACGGAGACGAGTCTCCGTCAGCTCTTCGTGGAGCAGAACCTCTCGTGCACGAACATCCTCGTCAAACGGGGAGGTTACGCTTTCGTCGATTGCTCGGATCAATCGTCGGCCGACAAGGCCATCGACAAACTGAATGGTAAGTTGTTATACACACCTTCAGTCCAAACAAAAGAACTTAACTTCAAAACATAGTTGTTGACAATGCATAAAACTATCTCAAAATTCGCAACAGTTGTCGTCGAACTAAACATCATCGCTTGTTAATATCTTTGATATCATATTTATTTGAAAATAAATAACCGACCGGCAGGAGAGGTAAAGTGGCCTCTTGGCTCTCTTCTCCTCTCATTCAATCCGGAGCCGGTTTTTATTTTTCTCCTCGTTATTATTTTTTTCTTCTCTTCTCTTCTTGCCTCCGTATTATATTTCGGTGGAGCCCAGGGTGTTGTTACACATGGCCATGACCACCTCATGCACACAAAACAATTTGCTTCAAGGAGTTTTCTAAATAACACTTTGCAAATATGAAAAACCCCTGGTGCACAATTGCAATAGGTAAACACTAGGACAATTATGCACCAGTTACAACATGACTTTTTTTTAATATAAAAAAATAGAAAAATGACAAACATCTCACTATTGTTCATTAAGCAATTTTAGTCTAGAAAATAATTTTGATTTAGTCTTTTTACAACTTGATTTCACCGAATTAATAAAGTGATCATATTTTTAAAATCATGTTTGTCTAGGAGGTTCTGCATATTGTTCGACATTAATATTTTTTACTCAAAATTTTACTTTTTCTTTCTGATTTACCTAACTCAATATATTAAACATTAACTTAATCCTTAAAAGCATAATTTTATAAAATTTTATAATAAATATATAAATATTTTCAGGTATATGACAAAAGAAAACATTGAATCTAGTCTAATACTTCGTTACTATAAGGTAGCTTATTACTAAAACGGAAATAGAAAATGTGGATTTTCTCAACGGTTTGATTTTAATTGCAATGTTCTCAATATGTACTCCATATTATTATTATTTTATGCGTTTTATATATTTTTGAAACACCGTTTTGAGATTTTTTTAATTAAATAGTTCAAGAGGGATAAAAAGGCCATTATAACAATTGAACATATTTTTTTTTTTTTATTTGTTTAGATGTGATTGTTGTAATAATTATTATTGGTTCTATGGAAGTAATTGTGTTTTGTATTCATTTTAAACTTTATCGTTAGTATATTATCAATGCATTTTCAATATTTTTATCTTTGGCTGACAAAGCGTATAGATATTGCAATAACTCGCTCGTTTATAAAGTTACCAAAAATGTGCTTGTTTAGCAAAAATCTCGTAAACATAGTTACTACTAATCCAAGGTTCCACTGTATTCTACCTAGTCCTAAAGACAGCTAATTTCATGAAAATTAATGATGCAAATGACAAATTATGTCTAATTTTAACTTGTTAAGAGGTTTCTGTCATAAATATGCATCCTCAAGTATTTGATATTAGTTATTCCTTTTTTGACCAGAGTGCCATTATATTATATTTTGTGAATCATCTATGGAAGTACAATAAATTACACATCTTGCATCTTACGTATTATAAGCATATTTATTTTTTCAATTATTCAAACATATTAAAAAAAAAATCAATAAAATATTCTAGTTTATAAAATATATAAACAAAACATAAAACGTCAATAACTCATAAAAAAAATGTTTTCTAGGATTTTCTTTCAATGGAGCATCTTTGGTTGTGGAACCGTCAGTGGCTTCTGGTAAAAAGAGGTAAGTCAATCAATGTTAACTATTACTGACCTTGAAATGTTTCTATACTTTTATCATTGTCTTTTTTTTACTAAATATAAGTAATTCTATTTAAAGGAGGTAATTTTATAATTCCCAATATATTTAAATATATAGTATAAAATTATATATGTTAATATACTGAGATTTATCTGCTTTATTCATTATTTTGACGAATATTATAATCTTAAACACCTATTCATATTGTTAGTTTTTGAGTAAGTAAAATAACGAAGCTTCTTACATCAACATAGTCAGAATCAATATAAAGTATGATGCTGTTCATCAAGTTATAAATATTCTGGCCAGAATATTTGTAATATGTTCCTTGATTTATTGCTGTCCTCTCTGAGGCTATCTATTCATATTTACACTAATATACTACGAATTTGATAGTAGCTGTATAAATATGGCAATTAAACAAACTACGAGTTAACTCATAGTTATCGTCCTAGGAAATAACGCAAACTTACGAGTTATCTCGTAGTTGGCAGTCAACGTGTTAAACGAAATTTATTTATTGTTTTTTATTTCATTTTTGAAATCGTAAATATTAAAAAAATCAGAAATGTGATTGACCAATTACCATTTTGTTTGGGGTCGAGAGAGACGTCGGTCGGGCTGCCGTTGCGAAATTAAACCGCATCACATATGTGGCATCTGCTCGAAATGACATACAAGCCTACATGAACGTGATACGTACGTATGGTGACATACACACACATGTATATATATATACACACACTCACACCAGCGGTTATCTTGGTAATTGTAAATGGTTACTTTTATGGCATTCGCATGAATCAGGTGCAATGATGGGTCCAAGATTATGGGGCAGATGCGATCCGCACACGTTCGCAATATACAGGGTGATTTACACAAATTAAATACCGACAGGAGTACAAACAATAAAAAAAAACAGCTCGTCATTACAACGAAATTTCGTACATATTATTCTGGTTATTACTTTTTTTCATCTCATCGATAATGTATCCATGTCGATGAGATGAAAAAAAGTAATTATCCGAAACATTCAATTAAAATATTAATAATTACTTTTAAAATAATAAAAGAAATATAATACAGTTAATTTTAATTAACTAAATCATATTTTATTTATCAAAGAATATTAATAAAATTAAGTTATTAATTTATTCTTAATGTTAGATTATGTATTAATGTTTAAGTTTTAATTGTTGATTTGATATTTATTATTCCAAGTTATATTTTGAGCTAAACATATATTTTAATTATTTCGAAATTATTTATTTAATTATTATTGAAATTTTGCTAATGCACATATTATGTATATATAAATTAAGTTCGATATTTTACTTTCATGACAAATACTAAATTCAGTTATTATTTATCAAAGATAAATATGATCTTATAAAAAAATAATGTAAAGATTTTTTTTAATATTAATTTATTATTAACTCAATTTTTCAATTGTTACTCTTTCTTGAAAGAGAGATAAAATAATAAATCGATGGTAATAAGTCCATTGTTGACTTTTTTTATAAGTGTCTAGAAATGCATGATTCATTTAGTCTTCATCAAATCTTGAAGATAAAATATGTATCGTAATTAAATTTGGCTTATGAGAATTTTATCATATAAAACTTATTTTTTCATCAAATCTATTAAATGTCATTTTATTTTTGATTCTTAGCAACGCTACAAGCATATATAACGATAAAAGTTTGTATAATTTCTATATTTTAATTACAATAACTTCAAATTGATTATTCAAAACCAATAGATTTTCTGAAACTTAACTTAAAGATGATATATCTTTTCTTAAGATGGTTTTCCTTAAAATTTGATTTTGTTTAACATCTTCATAATGAACAATATTCAATAATTCTTATATATATTCTTATATTATTCGATATAATTCTTATTTAATTAATATTTATATAATATTAATTATTCAATAAATCGTACATTTTAACGAGAAATATATTTTAGGATAAAAACACTTCAAATGTTTAATACAGATTTATTACCTTGCAAAGTAAATAATAAACAACTTTCGAAGTTCATATATTTAAATTAGGAGTAATGCAATGAATGTATTTCTAATTTACAACACTTCGCTTAAATAATCAATAATTTTTTGAGTGGTCGCTCCATTTAATAAGATAAAAATTGTTATGGTTCTTATCACCTTACTTGGAAATATGCATTAATATGTTAATGAAATTGCTATTACAAAAAATCGATTTGGATATGTATCTTTGTCGGTGAAACAATTTGTATATTTCATAATAATTTAAGCTCTTGTCATATAATAAAAATACCGGTTGATGTAAAGGCATTTAAGGTATTACGGTTAATTGTATCCACAAGTCTCATATTAACATGTTGTTTTGCATACAAACTCTCACTCCTTGTCTTAAATACGTAGAATATATAGCGATGATTAACAATTTATATTTGTTGTACGGCTTCGATTAAAATGTTTTTGCGTAACTTGTTCTTGATCTCTACGTGTTTAAGAGGGTAAAATTAATTAATTTCATATGCCATCAATTTACATATTTCTCTATCCGAATTAAGATGATTGTCGAACCACTTTAGCGAATTGGCTGTGGTATGTGCGGACTCTGCTATTGCAGTTGTGTGTCACCCTGTATATTTGTAGCACGTGCCCATGATATTGGTACTACTTCGGTATCATGACGCAATCACCCTTTTGGCCCCCGTTTTTTCGGGCCCACTTGGCTCGCGCGCGCGTTCCTTCCTCTCTTTCTCCTGCGTTTCCCTTTGCGTATAACGGGTTTTTCTTTCTTTTTTTTCGTCTTCCTCTCCTTCACCAAGGAAGGAACCGGCAAAAATTATCACGCAAAATTCATCCGATAAATTCACACTGAAACGAAACTGGATAGGGTGGATGGTGCACCAAACGGCCGAAACACCTGCAGCCTGAAAAAAGAAAAAAAATAGGCGGAGAAGAGAATAGTCCAGAAGAATATTTTCGCCATGCTTTTGATTAGATGCGCCTATTTACCGTGGAGACGACTCCCCCTTGTTTTTTTGCTAAAGACCAGAAAGAAAAACAAAACAGAAATTTTAAAAGGGGGAGCCTCCAGTTGTGACAGGTGCGCCATCTTATTATTTATTAATGCATTTCATTTCCATCATTTTCCTGTGCTACAAATTGCCCATTCACTTATCGCGATCGGCCAATTTTATTCGGGGTGGAGGGATGTTGATGATGATGATGATGAGGAGGAACGATCGTTCGCGAAACGTGTGTCGGGGTGGAGCGAAATTTTACAAAAAATATATATATGTGGAGAAACGGCATTAATGCACGTGATTTTTGCACCGTTTCGGCTTGTTTTTATTTTTCTTTATTTTCGCCCCGAACAACTGCCGAATAATTATGGTCATTAGTTATGGGGTCGTCATTGCACAAACATTGCAACGACAGTTGGGATATTGAGGATGTGATTATACACCTAATAAATTTATAGTCAAAACAAATAAAGGAATAAACTATTAATTACTCACTAATCTATAATTAGATTTTGTTACATTATTCTTTCATAAACCTCATAAAGTCCCTAAAAAAAAAGCACGAAATTATCAATAAAGTAGTTTTTACAGATAATTTCGTGTTTAGGTAAAACATATTATTAAATTGAAGTATCAAAATATTTTTAGAATCATTAAAAAATATTTGGAGACAAATAATTAAATTAATATGATTGAATATTGTATTCCTAACTTGAATTAATCTGAAATATGTTGCCTTGTTACTCAACTAAAGCGTATTCATTCTCATAGTGATTCTATTGATCTCGAGTGGGCAATGGGCACTGAACAAGTACAATCAAAGTACCTCGACACATGTTATTTACATTTCGTAATCTCTGAAACGTAAAGTAAACGATGGACCCTAGCTGACACGATTATCGTCAATGAGTTTTAAATTCCACTCAATTAGTGTCATTTTCTTTGAATTATTATAACATTATTCACTGTAATAAGAATATTTAATGTATTTTTTTTTTATTAAAGTATGAAAATACTATTTATATTATAAACAAATATGGAAAAAATCTCAAAATTCATGTTATGTTATACACAAGAATTCATATTTAAAATAGTGACTAAAAATAATAGTATAATAGAGATGGTTTGTACGAGCAATAAGTTTTAACGCTATTGCATAATAATAATCGTAAATCAATCATATAGTTAATGAATTGCAACATGCCATAAGAATGATAGAAACAGAATTATATAATTCTCTTATATTTATCTTTCAACAAATTAAAATTAAACTGTTGAAAAATAATGATTTAATTAATATAAATCCTGACGATCTTTAACTATAAGAATTTCATTAGAGAAAATTAGGTCGAATTAGAATCTAAGATTAACAAAATAAATTGAAACTTCTGTGTAATCAAAGCATACTGATATGATATAAAACAGGAAAAAATAACATTATTTGATGTCGTGAAACAATATGTTGTAATATTCATATATAAATTTAATATATAGTAAGTTGTTGATAGTTCTAAACACACAGTGGAACCGCTTAACGAAAACACACAAAATATGTGTACACAAGTTTTAAAACTCTCTTTTCATCGTCACTCGTTATGCGAAACGTCGGTCGTTAAGCGAGTCATTTTTCTTACAATTAATTTTGCTCGTTAAGCGAAATGCTCGTTATGCGAGGTGCTCGTTAAGCAAGGTTCCACTGTATATATTTTAATTATAAAAATAAATTTATAGTTTTATTATTTTTTTATGAACAGAGTATTTTAGGAACTCAATATTATACAGAAATTACAAGTTTTTTTTTGTTATATGATTTTCAAATGACCTGAACATATTTATGATACTATAATATATTAGGTTTCTTATTTTAATCAAATTAACAAAATTAAACTATTTATGAACGTATTCAATATGTTTTAAATTAATACGAAAATGTTTTCTTTTAAAATGAATGAATAATAAAGATGTATAAAGGTGTCTCACGTGCATGTTTTACTGTAAATACAGATTCAATTGATGATAAAGTGTGTCATTATCCTGGAATCGTTTTGAACGTTTAACCTACGTAAAACGACGCATTCCATGGAAATGAAGCGGTTATATTTCATAGGGGGGGAACGGTATAGTTTGATGTAATTATTGTATAAATTTTGCAAAGCGTGGTAATCGGTAATTGCATATTGGTGAATTATCAAGTAGAAGAAGAGAGGTCGGTATAAAGTACCAGTCGTATATGGTCTGTACTCACGGCGATAATTGCGGGATTGAAATTGCAAATGAAGGCTTTAATTATTCAATCCAAATATTGGTTTTCGTCCTGGACAGAGGGGCAGATGCTCGCCGCTTGCTGCTGCTGAAGTGAGACCGGCTGAATTCTCTTCACGTGCCGAATTGGCCGCAGGAAGGCACACGTGCCCATCGATGCCTACCAAAATAAATAATAAGACCAAAAAAATATAAAAGAAGCGAAGGAACGGCAAAGAAAAAGATCTTCAATTACACCTGTTCATATAGCCTCCCATCCCATCCATCGATTCATTTTCATTCACTTATAATTACAGTCGCACGTCTTTCTTTTCTCACTATCTCAATTCGTCCGGACAACTTTTCTCTTAACGTAATTAAGTATTTATTCACTTTAACAGGCTTCCAAGTGTTTTATTATAATTGTATTAAATTGAATAATGCCATTGCTTTCTTTTGTTTTCTTAGAGGGTCAATTACTGGACTGAGCGAAACCTCTAGTGTTCAAGTTGGAAACGGATGGATGTAAGTCGTATTTTTTTATAATTATTATCTCATTTGTTGTAGATAGAGACGCTTATATTAGTTAGATGCGCTTCAATTATTAATTCATTCATTCAAGTGATTCTTGCATGACTGTTTGCACATTCATATATAGAAAGCATTGGCCCTTTGCATGGAGCTTATTGACCTGTGCGACGTCTGAATCGATAACGCAAATGTTAAAACTGTAGACATTCAACACACACATACATACATATACTCACGCATGCAACCAAACGCCCATGCTTCCGAATTATATGTACAAATGGCCCTAATTGATGGATACAGCGTATAAATTAGGTATAGTCCGTCGTCCTCAACTCTAATGCTTCCATTCGGCTCCCCAATTTCCACTTAACGAGAGGGTCTATGCAAAGCGTAGACAGCATAGGAAAGAAAACTAAAGAGATCTAATACTATTAATTAGTTCATTCGTTGACATTTCGGATGTGTGTCAGAGAAGCGGAGACGGCGTCCTTGGTACCAAAAGGGCCTTAGGGTTGTCTTCTATCCTTGTGCGTAGTCGCATTTATCGACCCCACGTTGTCGGAGAAGTTGAGCTTGGGATTCACATTCGCAACAGCGTAGGGTTTGCTCTGAGTATACATACATATTCACTCGCCCTAAATAAACTTTGATTGATATAACTATTATCGAATTACGCAAAGGGCTTTATACATTTAGCGCTCTCGAAACTTGGGATTTGATTAGTTCTAGGAAAAATTCTGTATAAATTCTATGTAAAAAGGTGCGTCTTATAGTACGAATTTAAAACCTTACACATCATATATATAAATTATATCATTTTACATTTAATATATTATATTTTTAGTGATTTCAACAGTTAACATATCCAATTCAATTTATATTATTTACTTATGAAATCTGAAAGATAAATCTAGTAATTTAAAATACTTCAATCGTTGAGTTAAGTTGTTTTTTTTTGTGTCATTCAAAGCTATCTTCTGTCGATTGCATCTTCAACTGGTTATATTTGGACGTTATATTTATACTACATTGAAGCATGAAAGGAACCATGGTATATTTAACAATCTGGTATAAATTTCCAGGTTTAAATATTTCAATATTTTAACGGATTGTTTTGTTTCAATTCTGTAAATATTTCTTCACTAAAATTTAAGTTGTTTTGCCTAAAGTTTTATTTGTCTTTAAGTTTATCTTCTAATTCACATTATTCTTATTATGAACCTACAATCCACTCAACTACTTTCCTTCTTATTATAAAATACTAGTCAAATTACGCACAGATCATCGATTTATTAGCTGTATACAATTGTTAATCAACAGAAAGTACAGTGGAACTTCGCTTAACGAGCAAGATGAATTGTATGTAAAATGACTCATGAGAATGACGATGAGAAGTCCCGCGTCTGCTAGATCATTTTTAAAATTTGTGTATACATATGAGTATTTTTGAATTTGTTTCTCTATACGAGTAAAAATCCGGAAATGTTGGAACGAATTAAACTCGTTAAGTGAGGTTCCACTGTAAATGTGAATTTTATAATTTGTTTTGAATATATTTTTTCTCAGACAGTTTCTATAGGAATCAATTTTTAATAGGTCTAAATTTTACGTCGAGAGAGGAGATACTAAGTTTTGCAACATTTATCAAGAGGGTTTTAGTGAGAAAAATATGATTTATGATTTTATAAAACATAGTGCAAGAGTTTGGTTTTATCCGTACAATAACTCAGTACAATATTAAGATTATCATCCAGTATTTTTTTATCATAATATAAGTATTTACTTCAATACATAATAAAATATATTACCAATTGACACATGAAAATTCGAAGATATAAGTGAGTTTATTTATTGCCAATTATAAAAAGTGAACAATAAATTATCTTCTTTTTTTTCTCGAGAAGATATTTTTTTATTTTTTGAAATAAATATAGTAATGAATATAATTTATTATGAAATTGCTAAAAAAAACACTAGGTTTGATGATATAGGAATGATTTTTTTAATAATATTATTTTATTTTTAACTAATTCACTTACTTAAGTTATGATCAATTTATAATATACAATATTCTAGTTGAGACTTGTAGGTTTGGGCAGAATATAAACAGCACTGCGCGTAAATCTCGTCGCCTACTGTGTCAGTCAACAACTATTTTCAAAACTAATTCCGGTTTGTTTGGCTTTAATCCATTAACTTCCACGTATAATTTAGAATAAATAATCAAGATACTTAGGATTTGTGAATTTGCATATCTCGACTTTACGCAGCCTCGGTTTCATAACAGTAGTTATGAAAACTCAAGTTAGTGTAGAATCATCAAGTTTTAGTTTAATCTAAATTGATGAATGTATATACAGTAGTTAGGTAATCCGTGATTATATATTAATATTTTTATAACAATTGTGACAATAAATCAAAAACCGGAATAATTTTATTTTAAACCCGAAGTTATAACTGAATTAATAGTTAAAAGAAAGATTATTACGTAAGTAATTTAAAATTAAATTAAAAGCAATGAAGAACATAGACACTACATAAATATCAGTTTAACCGTGAATGAAAATTGACTTGTTTTTATTTAAATTTGATTCAATCAGTGTAATTGGGCGGAAATACTGTTGTTTACATGTATGCAATAAATTATATTTTTTTATTATCAAATATAATATATTAATAATAATTATTATTTTATAACAAAATAAATATATAGTAAAGAAAATAAATAAGCATATAAACAAAATACATAATATGAATAATCTTCAACAATGGGACCAACTGGGATATTCAATGAGTTATAATTAATGTCACATACATTACACATTATTAAAATAATTACACTTGTTTATATTAAATCAAAATTCCAAAACTAAAAATAATGAGAGGTGAAGGACAATCGACACAGCTATGAATAATGTTATATAAAAAAATAATTATTAAATAAAAAAATATGTATTCTTTTGTTTATGATATTAGTAGATGCTTCTTCTATAGAGAATATCAACAGTTCTCAAGCAACATATTTTGAGTACTTTCTAGATGTATCACGACAGTTATAAACATTCACTGAAAATCGAGAAAGGGCAAATACTTAACTATACCATTGTAACAGTTACACGAAAATGTTTTGGTTATGAGTTTTGCCAAAGAAAAAAAAAATGGAACCACTGGTTTAATATGTTGATTCAGTCTGGTATTTCAAAACCTTTCTTTATAAAAAAAAAGGTCAACTTTTGGATGTAGATGCTCATTAAAAAGGTTCAAAGAAGACACAAAAACAAACATAATGGAAGTTTCTTCTTAAAGTTCTCTAACTGTTCAAATAACTTTTGTTGTATTTCAAAATCTCCAACTAATCATAAGCAACGTTTCGCTTTGACTCTTGCGATTTTATCTTCCGTTTCGAGTGCCACATATACCTGCACACCGAAATGCAGCCTTCCCATCCCCCAAGCATCAACTATTCGGAGGCGAACGGTAAAGCCTAAGGTCCGTTTCATCTCATCTCTCTGTATATATATATTTTTTTTTTTGGTTGCTCTTCTACTTCACCTCGTGCAAATGTTATCTTCACTTCTACTTCTTCTTTATTATACCCAGCGGCTTTTTGTGCCGAGAAGAATGTTCCCTGTCGTCCTCCCCATCCTCCGCTCTCTTCAATCCACTCCAAAAACGTTCAGCACCAGGGGTAAGAGAGAGACTGGAAGAGGGACGGAGCGAAATGGAACGCGCCGATTCTAAGTTCGTTACCGGGAGAAAACCGCCCGGCGGATTAGAATATAAGGGGGGTCCTTTGTCTAAACACTTCCGGTGCTTGTTAAACGCCCGTAAACGGCAAATTGCAGGTTGCACGGCAGGTGGTCATATTCCTTCTTGTCATCTTGTCTCCGACTGCTGCCAAAAAAAAAACGAATATCGATCCTACATCCTCTAACAAACACCACATGCGCTATTTCCTAGTTCTAAATCATCCGCCAAATAATATGAATCGCCAGGTTATATTTAGTTTTATATATATGTTTAAGTAGCATTACTAAAAATAAATAAACCAACCATCTTTCCATCAACTTTTAATCAATTTCCTAATTTTAAATCAACTTAGAAGTAAACTGTCACAACCAATCAAAAACACTGGACCAACTGTTTTTCCACCCCTTTTTTCTTAATTTATTTAAAGAATGTATTTATGGATTTCGACATGTAAGAATTACATATCATTCTCATTGTATTACTAAGATTATATCCTTTTTTTCACGAAGGATTTCTGCAAATTGTAGTTCTTTTTTTTATTGTATTAACATCTGTACGGAAGCGCCATCTGCGTTCGCATCGTTACATAAAACAACTTTAATTTGAAATAATATTTTTCCGATTTTTTTTGTTTATCCGCAAGTGAAAGTCTCAAGATATTTATTGAATAATAAATTGTGGGGTCTCGAAACCAAAAATTAAATAATTTCTCGGAAATTGCAGCGGAGAACAGTGCTGAAGTATTTTAAGTACGTGTGGTTTAGTTCAATTACAGATCGCACGACACGTTTGTTTGTTTATTTCGGATAATGATTGTTTGCATCGAAATACACGGAGGAACTTCTTGTTGCTTGCATATATACTTTTTTTTAAATTTTATTACAGCTAAAGTGTAATTCCCCTTTTGAAAATTCGGCGTGCCTCGATTTTTCCTAGAATTCTATAAATATGGCGTTCCAAGCAGGGGGAGAATGGGGAACGGACCCTTCGGCCCATTTGTTCCTCTACCTGCCTCAAACATACTCACACGAGCCCCTTCTTTTTTGAATGCAAACACTCACACACATGTACACGAAGACGAAAAAGAAAATACGAGAAGAATTCTATTCTTAAATAAAATTTTGCCAAATTCTTTTCTAACAGAATTTATTACCTGGGCTCGCAAACAGGCACGAAATTATTTTTCCTTTGTTTGCAAATTTTTATATGTAAATTTATGCCTATTTCGGTTACGCGGAATTTCAATAAACCACCGTATATATATGCTATATGTAAAGCTAATATTACATA